GAATTCAAGCTGTATCAACAATTATAAAATACTATGCCACCATTTAATAAGAGGGTTAGCCCACTTAGAAGAGAAATAAAAATACAGCTGAAGTTATTTCAGCTTCAAGGAACCTCTCAATAAAAATTGTTTCTTGTATTGGAATTTCTTTTCTCAGTACGTTTTCTATTTTAAATAAAACATTTTTTAATAAAAATTTTCAAACCAGGTTAATTGGAGAATGAGTCTTAGCTTTTTTGAAGATTATTTGATTTTTAGTAATCAACCTGGAGTTCCATTTGATCTCAAATCTCCATAACACTTGTAAGATACGTTTTCATTTTCTGAAATGTGATGACTCTTCAGGAACATAGTTGTTTCTTAAATCAGATGTAGATCCATTATCACTAGAGGGCAGTAAACACAAAAAGATTTAGGGGATTTACTTATGCTAAAGTTATTTTTTAAATATTGGCATCAATCAAAGAAAGATATTTTTTATTATGTGAAAATAGATTTAAAATTCTGCTATTTAAAATATTGGTTATAAATTAATTCTAGATTATTGTCTACGTCTAAGATATTTTTGAGGCATTTGAAAGGCAAGGGAGACTGAGATTGCTTTCAGACGCTAGTTTGCTGTTGTATTTAATATCTGGTTTAACATTGCCTCAGATTCTTCAAGGGACATTTAATAATTGGATTTGCATTTGTTCAAGCTGAATGGTACTAGACATATAAGAGCCCACTTTATACTTTATATAGATTTGTTTCTTGATTAATAACAACTACCAGAACTTTAATTCTAAGGAGAAAGGTATAAAATAAATGTAGATTTATTATAGAATAAAATATTTTTCCAATGGTTGTAAGTCCAACTGAAAGCAATATTATTGCCAGGAAAATTCCTTAGATTGGAGAAATCTAAGAGTCAATACACATATTTTAGACAATATTTCTAAAATATTTCAAGCACAATAATATAATATACTGCTTATAAGTGATTATATTAATAGACCTGTTATAGACTCTAGACTAAATATAGAACAATGCCTGAGATACTTTTTGGCACTTTCGCATACTCTGGAGCCAGATAGCCTGAGTTCAAATCCCTGCTCTGCTACTTATTGGTTTTGTGACCTTGAACAAGACACTTAACCTCTGTCCCAGTTTCCTCATAATTTGGTTTGGTTGTCTTTTTCGTATTCAAAATACATCTTGTCTCTCTTGACCTCTGTTGCAAAGTCAATGATGCCAGCATGTGTTAATGTGTCAAAGGTTCACCTCCATTGGCAGAATTTTAAATATCCCAAAATGTCCTGAAATCATCCAGGAAGACTGTTAATTGCTTGGGTATCTGTTAAGGACTGAAAAAACAAGGAGTAAAAGAAGAGTGGCCTCTAGAAATTCTGTGGAGTATTATTAAGAAAAGACAGAAAAAGAGAAATGAACACTCCAGGACATTATTTTTTCCTATTTTAACACACACAATACTTGATACTATTAAATAATCTCCTTTATTACAGCAAATTAGGGATTTACAGTTGAATTATTTTAAATCTAGCACCTATCAGAGTAGCTGGCACATAGTAGTTGCTGGATAGAAGTTTGTAAAATGAAGAAACCATCACATTTAGCTGGGAGACTTGGCAGTAAATATTAGAGGGAGGGGGGACTGTGTGTGTGTATGTGTGTATGTGTGTGTGTGTGTGTGTGTGTGTGTGTGTGTTTGTGTTTCTGCGTAATTTTTTAAGACAGGACGTATTATTCTGCCATATGTAATTTGTTTTAAATGTTTTTTGATTATTTTGCTGAAGGTGAAAACCCACGTCCTTTCGTATCTCCTATAGGTGGTATAAAAATATTGATAAGTTTTGCTTCTGTATCAGCCAGCAATCTTTTTGTGCCTGTGGTACACTAACTACTTTGAGAGAGAGTAAGATAACATTTTTTTTTTTCCGCTTCAAGGATCCTCTACCCTGGGTGAGGAAGCAAAGTTCAAGACAGTTGAAACAACTAGAAAAGTGATTGTTAACACTGGGGAACATTCAGGAAATTTCAGGGCATGGTGATTGGGCAGCGCCCCTAGCACTCGGTGGATGGAGGCCAGGAAGGTTATATATCCCGGAATACATGGGATAGGATAATCCTTCACCAGGGAGGGTTGCTCTGTGTCCCACATGACATCCAAAAAAATCTCAGCAGCCATTCATGTAGGTGAAAAGTGCACTTAAAATTATCTGAGCCTGGAACCCAGTTACTTTTTACATATAAACATTAAATACTTTTACATAGTTTTAATTCACACCAAATTTCTAGCAGTGCAGCAACAGTGTATATTGAGGGAAGATTGCACTTTGTTACATGTAAAACCTTTCTAAGTGTCATTCATCATTTTGGGGAAAAATATCATCCTTCTAATATAACAACCATATATTCATGGTAATTCCCTGTATCAGAGAAATCATAGCAAGTGCTTACAAAGCACTTACTTTCCTAAGTGCTTTATGTATATGCACTAATTTAATCCTCATAACAAACCCGAAGGTGGGTACTATTATTCTCATTTTCCAAATGTCTTAGTCTGTTTGTGTTGCTATAAAGGACTACCTGAGTCTGAGTAATTTATTAAAGAAAAAAGGTTCATTTGGCACATGGTTCTTCAGGCTGTACGAGAAGCATGGTGCCAGCATCTGCATCTGGCAAGGGTTTCGGGCTGCCCCCACTCATGGCAGAAGGCAAAGGGGAGCTGTCATGTGCAGAGGTCACATGACAGGAGAGAGAAAGCATAAGAAAGATGAGGGAGGTTCCAGGCTCTTTTTAACAACTAGCTCTTGAGGGAACTAACAGAGAGATACTCACTCATTACTGTGACAGCACCAGGCTATTCATGAGGGACCCACCCCCATGACCCAAACACCTCCCAGTAGGCCCCACCTCCAACACTGGGGATCAAATTTCCAATTTCAGTGAGGTTTGGAGGGATCAAATATCCAACCATAGCACCAGATGAGTAAAGTGAATCATGAGAAGTCCAAATAACTTGCTGAAGGTCACCCACTAGTCAGTGACAGTAAGATCTAAGCTTTTGACTATTTTTTTAATGCAGTTGTGTAGAAGTATTTATATTTTGTAGTATTTAATAGAAATTATTTTTATTTCTCTTTTATGTTACTGATAAGCCATTATACTGATTTTTTAAAAAGTATTTACGTAGGAAGCATTTAATCTGTATGTATATATTTAGTGAAGTATGTGTGTAGGAAGTGTATTTAGGAATTTCATTTCAGGATTAAAAAACACTTGTTATAAAAAAAAAAGTAACTTATTTTGAAGTTTATCGAAGAATAAAATAGATTTATGGACAGATTTTTAAAAGGAGGGGGAGGGCAGTGAGCCTGATATGGCTGAAAACCACTGTAGAGCATAATTTGGATTTAAATGATGTGGTATGACACTTACACTTGCTCTTCAGGGGGCACACCAGGCATTCTTCTGCTGCAGGGCCTTGGCTCTTGGCTACTTTCACTTGAATTTCTCTTCCCTGCCCCCCCATATCCACATGGCTTTCTCCCTCTCTTCAGATCTTTGGCTATACATCATTTCATCAGAGAGGCTTTCCCTGGTCATCTTATAGGAACTTCTATTCCTAATCTTTACCATTTCTTTTTTCTCCATTGCGCTTATCCACCCCATGACATATTACTTATTTATTAACTTAATTGTTGAATGTAAGCTCCAGATGAGAAAACTTTGTTTTGTTCACTGCTATGTCCCCAGCATCCAGGGCAGTGCCTAACATAGAGTAGGAGCTTAATATTTATTGAATGAAGGGGTGAAGGTAGAATAGTTAGCATTTGAAGAAGGGCTAGAATATTTGGTCTTGAGATGTACTTTGAATGATTTAAATCTGCCTTGGGAAACCAGTTGGAGGTAGACTGGTAGGAGAAGAAGAGTATTCTAGGCAGTGAATTCAGTAAAGATTAAGAGAAATTGGATTGTCTCTAAAGATTGGGGGAATACTAGTCTTCCAGGGACAGAGCAAAGATGTAATACAGCAGCTGAAAATGGGCTTGGAGTTGGGAATTAGGGTCAGATGATGGCAGTCTGGAGCTCACAGAGGAATGTGAACATGATGAAGCAGTCAAATGCTGAGTTGTCAGTTACTATATTTGAAGTAATAGGCTGAAGCTGGATTTGAGGAAAAGTCTCTCTCTCTCTCTCTCTCTCTCTCCCCTCTCTCTCCACTCTCCATGACGTTGTCATGGACTTGCTCATAGCATGGCAGTGTCAGAACAGTCAGACTTTCTCACCTTGTAGCTCTGGGATCCCAATAGCATGTTCAAAGAGAGCAAGGTGAGAGCTGCAAAACTTCCTGTGACTTAGCCTAAGCAGTCACACAACATTACTTGTTGGTTCCACAAGCCGGCTCAGATTCAATGTAGGGCTGTGTGGCTCATTAGGAGGTATCTTTGGAAACTAGCTGTCACAGTAATCCATTTTACAGATGAGAACACTGACACACCAAAAAGTTAGATTATTTGTCAAGGATTGTGCACTAAAGGATTTAAACTTGGAGATCATGTTGTTAGTACCTGAGTGAATATAGAAAAATCATTTTTTCTCTCTAGATTTCACTTTATATGAAAATGAGGGGATGAGAGGGGATGACATTGAAGGTATTTGCTATTTCTCTCAGTCTTTTACATATTTGGATTGAAATGATGGGAGTGGGACTGGAAAAGAGCAGACTGAAAGAAACAGCATTCTATAAAAGATAGGAGTTGGTAACAAAGGTGATGCGGTAGAGGGGAACATACCAGAGTTATGCAAGGATCCAGTTAGATGGTTCATATCAAAGCTGAGAGTGTCTGACTCACATCAAACACCTGTCCAATGGTAGAAAGGAGTCACAGATTTCATCTGAGATACTGGAAGAAATACGGGCCCACTGATTGAAATGAAAGTAGTTACAGTAAGAGCTGCTTTAAATAGAAAAATGTTTCATGGTTTCGAAAAAGTTTGTTGTGACTGGCAAGGCATTCAAGAGAGCAGAGTATCTTATATTTGGAAATATGGTACTAAAGTTTAAGTCAGAAGTGGTCATTGAAGAGTGTGCCTTGGACAGAGTTCTTGTGGAGATCCCAAGTGAGGGGATTAATAGAAGGTAGCAAAGAAAGCACCGTCAGAGAAGTAGAGAGAACACCAAAGAATTTCAGGACCCTGCGAGTTGAGGGATATTGGTAAGAATGATCAAACAATATGGAATACTTCAGAGAAGTTAAGGAGAAGGAAAGACCAGAGAAAAGGAGGACCTTAGTATTCTTCCCGGGGTAGTTTCAACTGAGTGTTGGGGTTTTAAGTACTTTCTTTTGTAGAGGATTAAGAGGAAGTTAGGAAATGAACACAATAGGAACAGCAGCTGAGGAGTGTAGCAGCAAAGGACCAATAGAAACTCAAAGAGGCAAAGTTTTAATGCAGATATTTATGAGAGAGCATGCTATCTAAGACAGACAAACCTGATATTGAAATACTTAAATGGCAGGAAGACTGCAGAATAACCATATTAGCAGGTCATAGAAGCACAGATACAAACTTTGAGATAGATACGAGGTAGAATGGACAGAATTTTATACTAAAATAGAGTAAAATCTACATTTCCCTCATTTCTCATTCATAAGACCTCTTTAGTATGAAAGTTACAGAATAATACTATCCCAAACCAAATAAAAATACTATTTTTCTGAAAAAAATTTAAATTTCTTATTTAACCCTCTTCATAAAAGGTCTGTTTACTCTTGAACTCAATTCTGTATTCCTAAGAGCCACTCATTCCTTTCTTAACCTTGTGTACAATTGTAAAAATGTTCTCTTCTGATGAAACTATGGATCCTGAATTCTATATGCAAAACTCTGCATTCCTTGTCTGTACACAATGCATTAGCTTTCAGATTTTTCCCCCGATCACATTTATATTTGTAAATCATTTCCATCCTCGATTTTGAAGGTTACAGAGCTCAGCCATACATAACAATAGAAACAAATGGAGCTGAGAACAGCCATGCCACACTGGTGAGGGAGTGTCATTTCCATTTGTGAATTCTGGGCATTGGTTGTATTTTAGAATCACTATGCTTTT